GCTCATAGGACTACATTATGAATGTCACACCAAGTTACTTTTTACAGAGTTGTAAACATTATCGTACAAGAAAAAAAAACTAGCCAAATATGGAAACTTTGTTTTTTCCTTTTAGGAAATTAAAAACCCAATTATGGCAAGAAACACATTTTTTATTCACAATTGTACTTACGAGGTGACTTTTACGAGGTTAGTTTTATAAAAATGATTAAACTTGTGATGCATATCAAACCATATTAGTTATGAAGAATTACATCTTCTTCAGTAGTTAAATTTCATCTTTCATAATTTGACTCTTTTCTTGCCCTTTTTTCACTCTAATCATCTTAATGGATTAATAAAGAGAGGGACAAAATAGAAGGGGAATGATAATTAATGATATACAACTCAAGAATTGTAACTTAGCAAATAACTAGTCTAGTATGAATAATTAGTGACCTTATGTTGTATTTGACAAATGAGATTAACAAGATATTGAGGATCTATACAGGAAAGAGTATGCAGCAATTTGTGGAGTCATTGACAAAGATGAAGCTTCCATTGGACATTGAAATGGGACAACCAGTTTGATAATTCAAGGTTAGCTGATCTAGTCCGATAATTGTTAATTTGTTATTGAATCAATCGATATCTTATTGATTTGCTAACGGATTAGTACATTTTTTATTAAAAACTAATATTCTGTTGATCAAACCGTTAAAAGCGAAATTATCCACCGGATAAGCAGCCCTAGAGCTGCCCCTGCCAAAAAGTATCAATTTTGGTGCGAGGATGAAGGCGGCATGTGGTGAATGCGCTCAAAAGTAATTTTCACAGCTCAAATTTCAGTACATGAGAAATTTAGCCACCTACACTACATAAAAAATGATCAATTAATTGCTGCTAAATATGTATTTTTAGCGGCAATTAGCATTTTGTATATGTTCCAAAAATCTTTAGCGACATTGGTTCTAATGACATTTAATTGTTACTGGTATAGACTCTTTGTTAATATCAATATTTATTGTCGCTAAAACTTATTTTTGTTATACTGTTATTAACTAGTTTTTTACAATTTATGTTGGCCCTTGTACAATTAAAAGTCTTGAAAATCATTCAAATGTCTTCAATATTTTATGTAAGTTTGATGTAAGAACTTTCTCTTGGTATGACACAAACAAAGATGAAATAGCCTAAAACTGCAGTAATACACTACAAACTGCATAAGCAAGTCCTTGAATACATTGATTGAAACTAAATATTGTACCAGATATGCTAGTTGCATGTACTGTGTACATATTTTGTCAGACATATTTATTTACTAGTTTTGAAAATGTGCGTTTGTTTTTTATTACTATTATAAAATTTGTATACTGGGTGAAAGATTTATGGTGCTTTCAAAGCAGAAACAACTTAAACACAATAAGTTAACTAAAATATATCCTCAAAAACTAATTCAAAAAAGATAAAAGACACTCAACCAATATATATCAAGGAGAATTATTCTCGCCTTTATATATTATAGATCTTGAAACAAAACATATCTTAAAGAAACTTTCATACACATACGTATATGTCGAGAAGTATGCTTTAGAGGCCAATCCTATAAACTTATATAATCAAATTATATTACTTGTTCTACATAAACTAAAAAAAAAGTAAATTTTAAGAGACTCATGATTTTTTTCAAATTCAGGGTTACTTTTGTTAATACAAAATTGTTTAAATAAACATACTATGAAATATGTTGCCAGTGTAACTGAAAAATATAGGTATTGGTTATTGTAAAAATATCGTTGAACCTTTTTGTTTGTAAATGTATAAAAGGATATGGAAAAATTGAACAAATTCTTATAATGCATTCGCATTATTCATATTAATAACGGTAGTTTCAAGGAATAATGTGTTTTAACTTTTTAATTTTTTTCTCTTTGAATGATATGAATATGAATGGATAAATCATAAGTGCATGCATGTTTTGTCTATATATATATATCAATCTTGTAAAACATTATTAGAAAACATTATTCACTTAAAATTATCATAAGTAGGAACATTTGAAAAATCAACTTTACAAAGAAAACTACTTTAATCATAAACGATTGAGGCAATCGAAATGTTCCGGAAGATTCCATATGATTGATTAGCTTATTCTCAAAATAGTTAATTATAAATATAAATGGAAATTAATTTTATTGTATTTATATCATAAAGATATCAGAAATGAAATAATAACCAATTACAAAGTAATATTTGAAAATTAAAAAAGACTTTGTATTTGATGAACTTTCAACTTGTAAGTTGTAACCATGTCAATTCACATATTTCAAAAAAAAAAAGATAAATATATATGAATAAAATTATAAGAAAACACAAATATATAAATTAGTAAGGATATAATTACAAATTATTGGTAATAATATTTTTACAAATAGTGCATATTAATCTATAGAAAGTAAGATGATCACATCACAAATTTGTATGAAAAAATGGAATACATATTGTTTGTGAGTGTCTTTGATAGACTTTTGTTATTCCCACTTATTAAAAATTAAAATTAAAAGTTATTTTTAACTCTTCATTATCCATATTTAGTACATGAATAACTTCTCAAGCATTTACTACACAAAATTAATAGGCATATTTAGTCTATTTTCTGATACTAACTAACATTGTTGAATTTAAGTTCATATTTTATTGATTAGTGATGTAGTAATTAGAACAGTATATTTTATCTTTTTGATTAAAAAATATAAGAGTAAAAAAATGATGGGATAGAAAATTTAATATTCCAAAAAATTTGAATAATCATTGTGTCTAGAATTTTCCGTATATACATATAAATAACAATAGCAATTAGTAGATTCATATAATTATATTTTCAATCGATCAAATAATTTATATCTGTACTAAATTATTCACAAGTGATTATTCAAGTTCTATTTTGCAACAAAGAGAAGTTAAACTTTTGTAAAAACTAGTGGAAGGTGAAAACACTACCAAGATATTAGATACAATCAATGCATTATTGATTAAGATTTTGTTTGATGTACCAATTTAAATAAATTTATTATTTAATATTAAATTAATTATATATCAATATTTAATTTAAATAGGGATAAAAATAAAGATAAGATAATAATTCAACTTTTGGGTTAGGAATTTCTCACTTATAACACATATATATATATATATATCTTGATTTGGAGTTGAGTGCATAAATTATGGAAAACATTAAGTGTGTGGATATTTAGGGGTTCTAATCTCCATATATCTAACTTAAAATATGTACACCATTCTTAATTGATGAAATATACGTAATTATTTGTAAGTATAAATAAACTTAATATATATGGTATGAATGTATATCTAATAAGGTAGTTTTCTATTAGTAATGGTAACTTTGTGTATCACTTGGAAGAAACCCAATTTGAAAAGGAATCAAATGCATACCTTAAATATACGTTCAATTTATTAATTAGTATAAAGAGGAACTTTGGTATATGGGCATACGCTTGACCCTTGTTCCATACTATATTTTTGTGGTCCATGGCAACCTTTTGTGTTGCCGAGTTTTTGGCTTTTGAAAGCGTTTGAATCTTATGAAGTCAACATTTGAAATCACACTTCAAGTAAGTTATTTTTTTTCTATAGTGTTGGTTGATTTTGTATCTAGAATTTCATGATGAGGTTAATTTCTTCATCTAAGGGTGTCTAATGCGTGGGCTGATCCGGGATCGGTTGTTTCCGTTAGGATTAGACTGGTCCATGTAGAGGAGCAGGGTTGGGTTAGGTTATACAATAAATCAGACCCGCACAAATACTTTTGGGGTGTCGGTCGATTGAGATGAGTTAACCTAGTAAAGTCTTATTAGATACAGAATTTGGCTCGGTTCAACAAGTTAATTAGTAACTTTTTATGGGTAACCAATAGAAATTTCACTAGTTTATTACTTTGACACATGCTAGTTTTGAAGTATTATGAAACTAAGCAAGAATCGGTGAGTCTAAATACATATATCATGAGATACATGAAGTTAAAATTAAGTTGTTCTAGATACACTATATCCTAGTGGATTTATATGTATATGCGATACATAGACAAATCTCGTTTGCCTCTCTTGCCTCCCTCTCAACTCGCTCTCTTCTCTCTCTTATATATATGGTTTAATTCGATATTTTAAACCAAAAAATTAGATATATTGAAAAAACTATATCAAAAGTACAATATATTGTAATTTTTTGCACATCAATATGATTAAAAAAATAATTTTAAAATGTTAGTCAAAGTTATTATAGTTTGACTCTAAAAATAAAAACCACGGCAAATAATAGTGGATGGAATATAAATATTGAATTACTTTCAAAAACTATTTTTTCATTAAATTTTTTCAAAAATATTATTTTAACATAAATCTGCCTAGTCTAACCTAACACCTCACAGGCCAAAATAAATCATAATTAACCTAGCTCGACTAGAACCAGTCTCCCAAAATCGTACCACAGACTAGCTAGATTGATTTATTTTTATTTGAACTGATTTGTTAGAACCTGGCCAGTCACAAGTCTAAATAAATCTGAATTAAGCCAATTTGACTCAACCGTACCCTGGACCATCCAAATTGACTTCTTCTTGAACTGAATTGATATGGCCTGGTCTGATAGAACTCGATTTCTCCCAGATCAGTTGGAACCATTCTCCCCAACATGTACTTTGAACCAATCGAATTAAACTTTCACTTAATTGAACTTGTCTAACCCAATCTGATAGAACCCGACCCTCCGCAAGCCTAAATAGTTATTAGGGTTTAATTGTGTATCAAAATTCAACTTGTTCAATTCTTATCACCTTTTTATTATTTTATAATTTTAAACTACTTAATCAAATTATATTTTCTATATCAAATTAAAAAATGATTTTTCAAAATTATTTAAATGAATCAATTTAAATTACATAGGTATAAGTTTTTATGTGTACCCTAGCTCGACCCACACTTCTCAATAGTGCACCCGAGCTCATGTCGGTGACTTAGTATTTTGCCCTCCAACACTATTTTCCGTAGAAAAAGTTAAATTAATCTTTAATGCCTTCTACTTCGCCCTTGTTTAATGCGTTATAACGACCCACTAGTTTAATGCGTTCCTCTTTCTACGGCACTAATCTCCCTCCCTCCCAAATTCAAGTTAAAAAACTGCCATTTTCGTAGGCTTTCAGAGTTCTGTGAATGTGAATGTGAGTTTCGTTACTCTTCTTCATTGCTTGTTAGCCTGTATTCTTTTTGTTTCTTCTTGCTTTGCTGTAATATTTTTCATTTTGGGTTCGATTCGAAAGTTCATAATGCTTTTATCTTGTTAGGTGTTGATAATCATGTAATGTGTTCGTGTCATCGTAAAATTGTTCGATATTATACTGTAACCAGTAAAATTGGGGGTTTTTAGTAAGGGTTTTAAGTTGTGTGTACTTTATAAATTGTAGATGTCTGTGTTAGCGGAAACGAGTCCCTCAGAGATGTTAGGCAAGAAGAAACTTCATCAGATGGTTGATACCAAATCTCCCTCCACATTTAAGCGCGTAAAAGTCGATGCTACCCGCAATTTCCCTGAAAATTGTGGTTCATTTGTTTATCAAAACAATGGAAGCAAAGATATCTACCCGGAATTTCGGTCCAATAGCAAGCGTGTAAAAGTCAATTCTACGAGGAGTTTTCCGAAGAATTGTGGCCCCTGTGTTCCTGAAAAGAAGAAAGGAAGTGATACTCCATGCTCTGTTGATTCTGAGATCAAAAGTTGTTCTGATGTTGATATGAATGTGGTTGAGTCAGCTGAGCCTTTGAGTGTTTTCGAGCCAGAAGATGATTTGGCTGCAACTGTTGTGTGTCCAAAAGAGGCTGGTGATTCAAGTCATCAAAATACCTCATGTCAACCTGCTAATGGAAATCAGCAGCATGAAGTCTTGGTTAATCTGGTTCTCCAGAATCCATCAATTGATTCAGGAAATACATGTGATTGGTTTATAAAAAGCGAGCCTATTGAAAATGAACCAGAATTGCCTGCTATTGTTTCACAAGAAAATCTAATTCAAGGTCGAGATGAACCTAGTAAGGAAACAAGCAAGAGAGTTCATTACGGAGAAGTTCCTTACGATGAATACAGGAGTCGGGTAGACAATGATGAAATTTGCATTTTATCCTGCTCCGAGTCGAACTCATTAAAATCAGGTCTCAAGACCCTAAGTGCCGGTAAGAAAGGGGGCAAGGGTGAGATCGTGCAGGAAGAAGCAGTTAGTAGTCCAGAACCCCTACACAAGTGCAATGTTATTTTTGAAGATGAATCTGTGGTCATGAAGAACCAAATAGTTCTCGGAGTATCTCAAGAAGATTTAAGAAATTCTGTTGTCATGTGTAATGTTTCTGGTAATGGATTGTTGACTGAACATGAACATATTCAGAAAGTGAAAGAAGTTAGAGAGACTCTGAAACTTTTTGATGACGAATATACTAAACTTTTGCTAGAAGATAGAGCAGAAAAACATGAAGGAGGGCCCAAAAGAAGTATCCATATAGAGGCAGCAATGGCTTTGAAAAAACAGAAAAAGTGGGTAAATTGTGAGTGGACTTTTGGACATGTTCCTGGAGTTCAAATTGGGGATCAATTCCGGTTCAGGGCGGAACTTGTTATGATTGGACTACATCACCAATTTATTAAGGGTATCAATTATGTGACTATTGGCAGAAAAGATGTCGCATCTAGCATTGTTGATTCTGGTCGGTATGACAACGAGGCCATATCTTCTGAAACGTTCATTTATGTAGGTCAAGGCGGGAATCCAAAAGTATCTGTTAATGCGAGAATGGAAGATCAAAAGCTTGAAGGGGGTAATCTTGCCTTGAAGAACTCCATGGAGTTGGGATATCCGGTGAGGGTTATTTGTGGTCGACAAAGAGTGAATGGTGAAAAGAGTGATACAAGATACATTTACGATGGGCTCTACACCGTGACTAAGTGTTGGGAAGAAAGAGCTCCAACTGGAAAATACATTTTCAAGTTTGAATTGAAAAGAAATCTTGGCCAACCAAAACTTGCTCGTGAACTAGTGTCACGGCCAGCAAAGTTAGTCAAGGTTAATCAATTTTGTGTCAACAAGGCAAAAAAATCAATTTTGCAGTCGGAGTTTGTTGTGGACTATGATGTCTCCCAAGGAAAAGAGAAGATACCAATCCTTGTTGTCAATGCAATAGATGATGAGAGACCCTCACCATTCACTTACATTACCAGCATGCAATATCCGGATTGGTATTATATTTCTAGGCCTCAAGGTTGCAATTGTACAAGTGGATGCTTGGATTCCGAGCAATGCTCTTGTGCTTCTAGGAATGGAGGTGAAATTCCATTCAACACAAGAGGCTCTATTGTTAGAGCACAACCTCTTGTTTATGAGTGTGGTCCATCTTGCAAATGTCCCCCTTCTTGCAAAAATAGAGTTAGCCAACATGGTCCTCGATACCATTTGGAGGTTTTCAAGACCGAATCGAGAGGATGGGGTTTGAGGTCACGAGATTATGTCACACGTGGTAGGTTTATATGTGAATATGTTGGGGAGTTGCTTGATGAAAAGGAAGCTGAAAATAGAATAGGCCATGATGAGTACTTGTTTGATATTGGCAATTATGATGAAGAAATCCCCAAAAGGAATGTTGCGCGTAATAATAACCTCAAAGTTGAGTCAAATTCTTTGACGAGGAAGGATGAAGATGGCTTTACCCTTGATGCGTTAAGATATGGGAATGTTGGAAGATTTATCAACCATAGTTGCTCACCAAACCTTTATGCTCAAAATGTCATGTATTACCATGGTGATAAGAAAGTACCTCACATAATGTTTTTCGCTTCTGAGAGTATTGCTCCATTAGAGGAGCTTACTTATCACTACAACTACGATGTTGACCAAGTTTCTGATAAAAATGGCGATATGAAGAGAAAGAATTGTAGATGTGGCTCTCGGAAGTGCGAGGGGAGAATGTACTGAAGAACTACTCATGTAAGACTATTCCTCTTGACGTGATATTTGAAGTATATGTTTTATAATCTTTGTTCACTTGTCATTTCAACATTTTGATCTCTTGTTATTCCATTTACTATTAATTGTGCAAACTTTGATCTCTTGTGACATTCATTATGCTTAATTTCCTACTTTTTATGACATTTGTTGGTCTCGGATGTAGAATAAATTAAATGGTCGTATCAGTGTTGTGAATGGCGAGCGCCTCATCGCCAAAGGCGAGAGGCGATGCGAGGCGAGCCCTTCTCGCCATTCCACACTGAGGCGAGGCGACCCAAAAATGGCGAGCTAATGGCGACAAAAATGGCGCCGCCTTTTTGATTTAAATTTTTTTAAAAGATTTGACTTAACAATATTAGTCAACATTAGGGTTTTTTTGTTTATTTTCAAAATTTGCTGCTGACCAACTCCTCTTCCCCTCGCGATCTCTTCGCCCCGACTCCTCTTCCCTTCGCGATCTCTTCTATTGGCAAAATTTGCCGGTCACGTCTCTTCTCCTGTTTTCCATCATCTTCAAGGTGCTGCTGCACTGAGGACCTGAGGTATACCTCTTTTTTTTTCTTCTTTTGATTTTTTTAGTTCTTCTTGAGTTCTTTTCTTCAAGAGTTGGATAGTTTTGAAGAAGAATAGACATTTAAAGTTTTAGTATTGTATTTTTGATTTTTGGTCTTTAAAGTTTTACTACTATTGGTTTTTGAATTGAATATTTGCTAATATATGTTATTACTATTAAGATTTTGGATATTTATGTATGCAATTAAATATTTTTAATTTTTGGTATTAATTGGCGCCTTAATTCAAAAAGGCAAGCGCCTCGCCGCGTGGTGAGGCAGGCCCTTGTCGCCTCTCGCCGTTCAAAACACTGGGTCGTATAACCACACGAGGGAGTTAATACTTATTCGGCCTCTTAGTTTTAGACTTGCTGAAATAAAGCTTTACTTACCACCCAGACTGGACCAAAATCCTTAAAAGAAACATTTATCTAAAACTGCAAATGTGTGTTTTCCTATCAAGTAGTGAACTTTGTACACGGATTCATAAGTATTTTTCATTGAACCACTATATGATTTGTTCATTTAATGTCTTTTGCTGATTCTCTTCAGTTTCTTCATGTATGCTTCTGGTTGTGTGACTATTGAGTGATTTGTTTAATCTTGTTTCTACAGCCTCGAATTTTGCACTTTTTATCAGAGGATGAGCTTTTTCTTGCACTTGTAGTAATGAACACCAGCTTGTCACATGGTTGTATTAAGGAACTGAAAGCTTTCATGGAGTTCAGCTTAGCTTTAGTGTTGAATATTGATTATTGAACTCAACTGGGTTTTCAGCTTTACTGTATTTTTCAAAGTACTTTCAGTGTCTTATTTCATGCATCAAGCGCACTTGAACAAAAGAAAATATCACTTCTTTTGCCAGAATTTGCTTTGCATCTATTGTTCTTTTCTAACATTTCTGTATAAATTTAGTGTAGCTGACAATTATTTCATTAAGTGTTGCTTGGTATGCTGACTAAATTATCTCGGGATTAAACTCTTGAGATTCTATCGTTAGATTAGTTTATCCATCTTTGGGTAGGATAAAATAATCCAATGGGATAATGGATGAGATAAAGTGAGATATCCGAGATCAAATTCATATTGTGTTTGATTGACGAATAAATTTACACAGTTGATCGAAAACACTATTAACAACTTATTCGCTAGTCTATTTACAATCTACGGTGGCCCTTGTAAAATCAAAGAGTCTTGAAATTATCCAAATATCTACAATATATCTTATGTAAGTTTAATATGAGCAATGACACTAACAAAGATGAAATAACCTGAAACTGCAATAATATACAGTGGCTGTTCTCTAGTAAATTATATAATAGGTCGATCAAATAAATACACTAGTATAAAATCACAATTTCAAGCCTATAAACAAACAATAGCTTACAAGAAAGAACAAACATGGAATCCATTTATTTTTCTCCTGCAAACAGAGTGGCCTTAACCATAGCATCGGATGGGATCGTTGCATCCTTTCTCAACAGACTGCCTGAAACCAAAGCGACCCCCCTTTGCAAGATACTGCTGATGATACTCTTCAGCTCTGTAAAATTTCTTAGCCGGCAAGATCTCAGTAACAATATTCCTGTTCAATATCTTTTGTTGTCTGTCTCGCGCTTCTAGTGCTGCCTTCTCTTGCTCAGGTGTGTAGAAGTAAATTCCAGACCTGTATTGGGTGCCAACGTCATTACCCTACAAACACCATAATCAAGCTGTTAGATAAATTAATACGAACACTGCTGTCTGTAAAAGCTGTACCGGAGTTAATATAGTTTTTTAATGACCAACAACCCTGTAGGCTGTAGAAGAACATGCGTCACCTATGCTTTTCCCAAAGTACCAGTTCTCATTTAGCAAAAATTTCACAGTAAGAGGTACCGAAGACCACTGGAGCTAGTCCCAAAATAGGAATAGGTCCAAGAGTCCATTTTTCCCAGTTTTCGAAATCTGGGAAGCCCTTCTGTTAAAATAACATGTGTTTGACAAATCCATTTGACAGGTACTACATAAGGCGTTTGTATTTAGCCAACATTTCAAAATGTGCTTGTTAAGAGCTATATTGTGAATAGGACATACAAGGTTTTCTAATGAAGTTTTCCAATTTTATTTCATCAAAATGCAGACGAGAGAACCACACAACAATTTTATTTTTTAAATCAATACAAGTATAATTAAATCGAAGTAACAAAATGAAAAATTATATACAATCACTCTAGTCTTATCTGACGACTTTAATATATCAAAGTACACCATTCGATATGTATATAGGAGGGATAGTTCGGTGTGAGTGTCAGGGTGTGTGTTTGTCTATATATTGTATAATTTTGTTTATAGTTAAGAGATACTATATGAGATCAATTTAAGGATGAATAGTTAGTAAATGTTTCTGGTAAGGTACTTTTTCCTTGAATTCGCTTCCGATTCTAGGTGAAGCTACAATGTGTACTTCTTCCCTGTGGAAAAAACAGCTTCTGCTACAGCTTAAAATCACTTACTAGAAGGTTGCCCCAACACCTGCAAACTCTTTAAAAAGAATAACCTTTTTGGAGAAAATAAGCTCAAGATGTTGAAGCTCGACCCACAGGCTATAAATCATCCAGAAAAAGGAAGCTAGGAAAAAGTGTCTAGAGTCAAAATTACTGTTGGCATTTATCGCGGAAGCACATAAAGTAATTCTTCAGACAAAATTCCTATGCTAATCAATAAACTCCGAAGCTAACACAGAGTTGCCTATTTATTTAGCCATCTATGTACATAGGAGCCAAAGTAAGCTTCTTATACTACTAAATTTCATGGCATAAGCGGAAATCGATAGAAATAACTCCAAATTTTATAGGCAAACACTCTTCTTTTAGAAAACATCTAAAAACAAACCAATTCATCCTGGTTGCCCCTTAAAAAATAACTAACTTGATGCCAAGTCCTCAAACTTTAAGCAAAACATAACCTTTGAAGATCTTAAAAGGCATGATCTTTGAAGATATTCAATAGACATAATCTTTAAGAAAATGCAGCATTTTGATGATGTACCTAATGACATTTTACTAATATAAAAACAAGGATGGTTGGGTAAGTGGACATTCCAATGAATAACTACTCTTTTTTTGGTTTCACACCCGGTGTCCGGAAGCCGTATTGGAGCTCCGACTAAATCTGCATCGCACTCTGCAGGGCCCATTTGGAGCTCCGACTAAAGGATGTTAAACATGCTTCTAGCACTTCTAACTTTGAAGCCAATAAAGACCTGAGTTTTGTTATGAACACCCAAAAACTATTGAATGCCCCATAAAGACTCAAATTGGGCGACAAGCTTAGCAAAAGAGACCAAATATAGCTACAGGAAATAAGATCTTAACTACTTACAAATCGATCACATCAATGAAAATTCATGATTTTAACATCAATTTCTCTACCAAAACTTAACTTGGGGTTAAGCAAAATGGCATAATTCCATCCAACAAAACAAAACACAATTCAACCATTATTTACCACCACAAACAAAATAAACACAAAAAATTTGAGAAACCCACCTGTCGATTGAGGGTGGTGGGGTCATGCCGATCCCAAAATACATCAAGCAAGGTATCAAAATTGCACTCCTTCGGATCATACTGAACTCTAACAACCTCTGAATGAAAGGTATTCCCAGAGCAAATATCTTCATACGTAGGATTATCCAAATACCCTTGTGAATATCCAACTTCTGTCTTGGTAACACCAGGCACTCTCTGAAAGGCCAATTCAACCCCCCAAAAGCATCCAGCCCCAAATTGGACAAACTGTTGGCCTGGGGCAGGGATGTCGGTGTCAGGTCCTTGTGGAATTGCAGAGGAAGAAGAATCCATTGGAGTATCAGTACGAGCACCAAAACCCAATTTGTTGAGCCAACTCATCTTTGGTGGAGAGTAGAGAGATGGGGTTTTGGAAGTCCGAGGAAAGGTTGAAGAAACTTTACGGGAAAAAGGAGGGAGAAGAAGAGTGGATTTGGAGAAGGAAATGAGTGGAGATTTTGTGGCTATGGTGGAGGAAGGGAGACAAGTCTTGAGGAGCATGGTTGATCTATAATAAAGTTTTGTTTGGATAAGTGTTCCTTATAATAAATAATGTTTTTTTCTCTTTTATAATAGAGTATGTATAACTACTTACACCACTAGTATATTATTCCTATAAAAACCTCTTTCACAAAATTATTGAGACTTCTTTTTTGCTAGTCATATATAGGTTAGGAAGAGTGTTTTGGGGTTTGAAACTGAAATTTCATAGGTCCCAAGATTATATTTTGGAGTGAATTTTTTTATTATTATTTTTTAGTAGAATAATTTGATAATAGCGAAAAGATCGTAGTAAAGAAAAACGTCATAATAATTCTAAATATAAATATAATACGACTATAAAATAGGTGAGGCTAAACTGAGTTGATTGTATACAAGAGGGGTCAAATCAATGGATTCACGTAAATTCATGTTCCACTTTCGAAATTATATATAATACTAATATTATATTTTTCAAAAAATATTTAAATATTGAGGTATAAATCCACACTGAAAAATCATATAGCATAGTAATAATTGGTAAGCAAGGTTAAAATTTTATATTTTATATTTATCTGATTTTATTCTTCTTTTCGTAATAATGCACTCGTCATCTTAATATCTGCCTTGTCACGAATTGAATTTGCCTGGCCGGCTACCGTCAAGTAAAAATGATTAAGTTTCATGAATTTTAATACTATAATTAATAAGACGAGGCATAGATGATCCTTTAAGTAGAAGAATTCAAATTTTCTTTCTGTTACTGGACTTTGGTGGGGTTGAAAATATAAGGAAAAATTAGTAAATTAGTCAAAATAAATAACATATTTAGTAAAAATATCCATACTTTATAAATATTAGCAATAATGTCAAAAATGTCATTATTTTAAAAAATTTATGTGTCCCAATTTTCTTCCTATTTTATCTCTCTTTTTCAATTAATTCTATATATCCTTTTTTTAGA